CACGACGAGACAGCACCCTGATGTGGTGCGACGGCCTGTGTGCCTCCATGGCCCTGAGAGCTACACGGGATGGTTTTTCACAGCCGCAGATCCAATCATGCCTGAAAGGTCAACGGGTAGAGGCCAGACAAAGCTAGGTCTCACAAGGGCAGTTCATTGGGAACCTGGCTTCCTTCGACTATCCACGCTCACCCCTGGAGAGGTCAGACCAGCAAACAAACACGAGAGGGGCACTTTACCAGTCAAAAAATACCCGCTAGATGGACGTAGGAGCGGGATACCAGGGGCTTCCTCTCGACAGTGGGAGAAGTCTTCGCACTTCATTGGACAGCTAGCGCCCGCCCAAGCTGAGCAGCTCCCAGCCAATAAAGTGGTACCCCGTCCATGTTCCGGTTGTCTCGTGAGAATAAGGACCAAACCCGAACAGCGGACCGACGATCAAAGCACTAGCGAACAATACACCGAACTGCAACCCGAAGGCCTGGTGTGACAGGTCTCTAGAAGTTCCCACACGGGTGCTTCGGTTATGCTACCACGATGGGTCTACGCCCAATTGCCTTGTGGGTCAGACTTTTGAGTCGAAGGGTCCGGCAAAGGTTCCTAAAGATAAAACCTATTCATCAGCGTAAGTTGCCGCGAAGTGTGGTGCCCTTAACTCAGGCACGGATTTGGTAAAGGATCTTTCCCATCTGTCTAGTTCTTCCTCCTGTTTACGCCATGTGTTACGCATGTCACTATGCCACGGTAAGCGATGTTTGCCGAGGCAGGCAGTGGGTAGAATAAAGCCAAGGGTGGTCAAACCGAGACCTGGTAAGAGGGTATGAAAGCCCTAACCAGGAGACTCGGTCACATAGGTTGCGTTAAGCTCTCTGGCTGGGGACCTCGGTATGATCGTAACCGGTGGTTAAAGACATTGAATTATATGGCTGTGTTGTAAACAATGGCACTCTTGCATCACTTCAATTACTTTGCAACCTTAGTCCACTGAAATTCTCCTTTTCCCCGTCGGTTCTACTTTTAACTTTCCTATCTTTTTCTCCTGTTCATCCAAATGGGCAGTCAAAAGACGTCAACCAAAAAACGGTGGAGAACTGTGTTCATTTACACCACACTTTATTTCAAAACAAAAGCGACATTACTGTACAACTGTCATTGCAGAATATTAGTTCTTGAACAATCCCTGATGAGTGTGGTTGTAAGCACAAATGTACACTATAGTATGCATCAGCTCCACACATCCAGGTGATACCGACCCTCAACTCGAAGACGATTCAGGTATGTTTCGGCGGCGTTCATCGACAGGGAACCGTGCGTTTGGACCACACTGACCAAACAGGAGTGCACATCACGAGCCATTGTATGAGCCGAGCTAAAAGCAAGTGAACACGCATTTCGAATTACGAATAAATAGCACAGAGCTTGGTTTAGGTGACTGATTCGACCGAACTTTTTATTCTATGAAAATACTACTCGTTATGCACCAGTAAGGTATACGAGAGAAAAGAGGGGGAACCTCAGTTAAGATACTTGAAGGTTACATTAAGAATACACAACTCAGCTTCTTGGAACCACAGATCAAAGTTGAGTAGCTGATGGAGACTAAAAAGATAAAATATGCCCCACAGGACACACCAGTCTGTCAGCTCAGAGCTGCTACTCCAATCAGATACACCTTAAGTCCCATTTACTGGTATCCAGTTTCATTGTATGACACTGAGATATCTATTTCCCAGTATTTTGTTGGAACTAATTAATTTGCAGTTGCATCCTGTGAGCAAATCGATTATAATGATGAATATGAATGCATCAGGACTGTATTGAAAACATATCATGTATATTGTTTATAGTGAATTTTATTATGTCAATAACAGTATTTTCGGTAGAGATCACAATTCACCAACGTTTTGGGTTGGACTGCAAGCCCACCAGCATTCGGACAACCGTACCATCACTAACGCATCACTGAGG